AAAGCTAAGTTAATAAGTTTTGTTGAGTAACTAAACTTCTTAACTTATGAATCAAGCATGTTTCAGAATAAATACGCATGTTTAACGAAATTACTAAGTGTGAAAGAATATTTGACCCATAGTAACTAGATGTAAATGAATGAACCACTTCTTCCGTGGTTGAACACAGATGTTAAGAGTTAATAAGACATTTTTTGAATGGAAAACGATCAAAAACAGTCTACCACTATCTTGTAGCCCATATCGTTTCTCCTCTACGTCACTGAAGTTAATTAATTCGTCAGTACTGTTTTTTGCAGATGAATTTAACACCTTGAGCATCATTATTGGTGATGCCGATCAGTAGGCGATTTCATGGATAGAGATTGTAGATTTATTCTAGAAAGTGTTCAAATACACATTGCTCTCAACATTAGTTACCAACATGCTGTTAACTGTACGATGATTTACCGCTTTGTTCCATCCAATAAACAATTGTTTAGGAGGCCACCAAAAGAAGTTGAAATACGTCAACGAAATAAACCCAGAGTGGGATTCCGATTTTCACAAAAGTCGTCCGACTACTAGAACGAATTACCCAATCAAGTGAAGTCAGCTGCATCAATGATTACTTTCAACAGCAAAAAATCTCTAATTTTAACTAGATTTTAGGAATAGACGCAGTTCGACTGACATCCTGTGCTTATTGGTGACACTGAAAAACTGAAAACAACTAAGCAACCTACTATAGAAAGTGCGGTAGCCCTCTGGAAGGATTATTGAACTGCCCGTAATAAATGTCAAGTGTGAGAAAACGTATGATGGCGTTGCGAAGGTACCTTGTATTAATTTTTTTGACTGAGGATGTTTTTTTCAACGAAATAAGCTTCGTGGCTGGGATTTACGGTGATATCCACTATCTACTCGGCAACTTTATTTACTTCGCTGACTATCATTATGATATCTGACAAGAACGACTTGCTCAAGTCTGGATAACTTAGATAGAAATTGTCTTCCGGAAAGTCTTTCGATGAAAACTCATTGGATTAATACTATTCTCGTACATAGCAAAATTTCTGTTCCTGAGGCATCTTGAAAAAGCAGTTCTCATCTAGGTCTGTCGGTTACATTTCTACGTCTAGGGAGGGAATAATTCAATGTGTCAGTTGTTTCAGAAACGTCAATAGTATACATGACACTAGTAAGTATATGAACAGCAGAACCAGGCTTTGGTTTTACCAGTAGCTTATGTAGGTGTTCTTTAAAAATACAAGTGAATCTCACAATACGAAAATAAGATGTGCAACTATGTGTAGTTATATAACATTTCAAAAAGGAATAGTCTCAGTTTTATTGTTAGTCTTGCAGATCACGTTTGGCACACCAATAAATGTATCTCCGGTAGTTAGGGATTGGCAATGAGTTTTTCTACAACGACATTCTAAATGTGAAACCCAAACTCAGTCGAAACAGGATTTAAAAATGAGGGAGAAAGAAAAAATATTGGGAAGCTAGATGATCGGTTGAAAGGTGCGAAATATCAGCTTGCAAGTATTTGAGAAGGAATACGTAGTAATGTGAACCCTACGATGATCTGGCTAAGATGCATGACTTCACACTTCTAAATGAGGTTAATACCAACTGTGAGGACTTACGGACTAAACAACTATTTGGATTTATTGACTGCCACACTCTGAGAGTCCATTCTGATTGCATGACATTCTAAGTATCTCAGTCAGCGACATAGACATTTATGAACTGATAAATGTTTTGTGCATCGACAGTGGTGAGACATAGAAATTGTACTTTAAGAATACAGGCCTTAAGAATTTTACTAAACATGGCATCGTTTTATTGCACCACATTTCATTTGCAACTTAGTAACATATCAACACGACGTCGCCGTTTATATGATTGAAAAATATCAATGAACAACATTTGGAGCATGTAATTTAACCAGTGTTCTGTGAAAGTATTGCAAGCGATCAGATTAAAACATGACATACGTTCATAAATTCATTATTTTATTTTAGAAAATCTCATCAAATATGTTGAAGTAGGGCTAATTAAATATCGTAGTTAGTCTTGAATTTCATGGTTTATAATCTATGTAGACATCCGGAATCATTTTTGTTCCTTCGTAAACGCCATCGCATTATTTACAGCATATATCAGAACCACTTAGCGAGTAAACTTGAACCCAATGGCATAGCAACGTGTCAAAATAATTGATAGGTTACTGGATCTTCACTGACATAGAAACCCAAAGGTGTACTGAAAAAGTATTAGAGTCGATCAGACTGAGATATAATACACGTTCATATAGACATTAGCCATTGAACTGTTATTTTGAGATATTCAGCTTCCCTCGTTAAGGTTCACTATACAACCTAAGGCTATGGTTGGGTAAATAAATGGTTTGGAGTCGGCAGTAGTGGAAACAATATACTCAGTTCTTAGTTCTATCGAAATGTTTAGTTCTCGAGTTGTGTAATTTTTCATTACGACTGATATAGTGATTCAAGCTTCTTCAGTTTACGGTTTAGTAATGCTCATTGTCTCTGCCTTCATGTAACGACTTGAAACTCATCTTAGACAGTGTGTTGCCTGTGATGGATGCTTTGCTATGTTACACCTTATCAAGAACCAGTTAGTCTACCGATATATTTTTAGCAATTACAGTAGGCAATATAGTTTTTTAGTGAGTCACAGACAGTTTACATTAAGACGTCAAAGGGTCAGAACACTCACTAAAACTTGTTAAGTTGTAGGATAGTATTGTATCACCTCACATATATCTTGTACTTTTATCATTGTTGAGCTTGTATACACATGTACGCTTGGGCGTTACTTGCCACCTACACATATAGTTATTTGACCAGCTTTATCGATTAACAGTTTCAATAATTCGATGTCAATATCGACTATACATATTTGAATTAAATCCGACATTTGTATCGATCATTAAATAATTTGAATAATAAAGAGATTGAGGCAACTACTCGCGTTCTCTCATAGCGATCATTAAGAAGGAGGTATACGGGAAATCGAAGATAACGAATGTCTAACGAGTGATGACGATCATGGATAAAGTGAGCACACATCAGCTCGCCGAGGTTATGCTTTGGAAGCGTGGGATACAGAAAGTACACAAAGTTGGATAACTCTAAGCTTCAGTTTGAATCACCAGCAACACACATCTCACTAGAACTTACAGGATCTCCTTAGGAATCTAGTCACTGGTAAGTACGTGTTAATTATCAGAATTGGGTCATGCAGATTGGCTAGTTCATGGTTTCGACAAAGCTCAACAATCTTCATAATACTAAACTCACATATATATTAGTTGGAAAACAGAATCCTAATAATGGCATTTCCACTGCAAGATTAAATCCAAACATGTTGATGAATTTATTTTCAATGTTTTCGAGAAGTTTTATACCAATCTCATACTGTTTGTTGAGTTTTTCAGAAATTATCAAATAAATCTTCTCTATATATTCCAGTGTGCCAATCTGACTGCAGTATATTGGTTAAAATGTATCAGACAAGGAAAAGAATCAGTGTTAAAACTACTGAAACACACAACGATGCAATTATTATGGTATATTATCATTGTAGTAGTACAGGGAAAGTTAGGAACATGTTACTCTGATGAATAAGGGTACTCTCTTTTGTAAAGAACTCAAACTTATAGACAAATCCACAAGACTCGGATATTCAGTGACATTCAAAGTGTGCACATTAGTTATTAGACTATGAAATTCTAAAGCATCTGCCAGTCAGTTAGATGCAACGTAGAACTTTGTACGTAAGTACATCAGTTCATGTCGCCATGTCACATCAGCACAGATGTAATTGTCGATTCAAATCCAATAGTAGAAGAGGTAGTAAAGGTATTAGAAGTAATCCGAGAGGTTAGGATTAGATATTATTCAAGAAGTATGATTTAATGAGAAATGTTTAGAAAGTCAAAACTAGAGTTGTTGAAGAATCCAGAAAGTTAGGATTTGAGAGAACACAAAGAATGAATGCGCCATTGTGAACGGTTTTGAGCCATGTAATTCAGGGTCTCTAACCATCGATTATTATCATCTCGCGGATCCCAACCAGGTAGTAGACGATTACCGACATGGCTAAGTCCACTCATCAATCACTTCATGGATTTCTGACATGTTTTGGTTTGGCCGTCCCTAACTTTCTTCCAACCTGTTCCTACACTAAAAAAACATAGCTCGTTGAGGCCGTCGGTGGTTAGGCATACGTAGCACATGTCCCATCCAACTCAACTGATGAAGTCCCATTACTTCATCTATTGATCTGCCATTCTTACCGAGCACCCGATTCTTAATAACAGCGTTGCTCGCTCGGGTGTGCCAGGATATACGAGCAATGTTTCTTAAACATCTATGATCGAATACTAGTAACCGACGAACATCTACTCTCATTGGCCATGTTTCACAGCCATATAGGAGAACGGAGCGAACTACTGCACAGTACACTCATCCTTTGGTCAGTAAACAGATATCTCGCCTACGCCATAAGTGACGCAGGTTGGCAAAAGCCAATCGAGCCTTCTGTATCCGTGCTGAGATTTCGTCAGTCACCAGGCCATCGGCACTGATGACACTCCCAAGATAAGTGAAGCGGTCTACACTTCTGACTACTTCACTCCCTATCACTAGTTCAGGTGCCAATGCAACCCATTCTTGAAGCAACATTTTGCATTTCGAGGGTGAGAACCGCATCCCTAACATGCTTGCATTGTTGCTTAGTGTGGTCAGAAGACTCTGCATTTTGTCAGCATCTTCATCAAGTAGGACAATGTCATCGGCATATTCTAGATACCTAAAGCAAACTAAGGTGGAATGCAATTCTAAAGCATATGTCCTTACAAGCATTGGATATGAATACACAAATTAGTTGCTACAATTATAATATCACTTTCTTCCTAACTTGTCCAGTTCATCATGAAGTAAACCTTTTTGTATAAATCATAAAAACAAACCAAGACACTTCAATCATACCGTACAAGTATATTTTCAAACACTAAATAATATACAATAATCTCAAACAGACATTCATAATTGTGAGTAGCATTGTGGTGTGTGCTACTTATACGAACGATATAAGTAGTATAAGAAGGGAAGTGAAAGAAGAAGTCTCACGGTCAGAAGAGGAAAACGGAAAGCAAATGGAGTACCAACAGAGGAAGGAAAGGAAGCAACAACAGGAATAGAAGAAGTATGGAGTGTTGTAAGTCACGACGACTCAAAGATGGTGTGCAAATAGAGGAGTATTCAATGTAATGTTTTCGTTTTTAATTGACTAAGAGTGTACATTTGCGAAATACAATCTAACGAGCCTGCCTCAGTCTTCTCAGTATGTTGTTTGATTTAAATGTTAAGAAAAAAAAGTTGAGTCAAATCATATTTAAAAACTTGAAAAGATGATAAACATGAAAGTCATGTATTTTTTTTCATTATCAATTTGATTGTTATACATATTCAATCGAAACTAGTTGAGCTCATACGTTTCTTCACCGCATCCTGTTGATAGGCTAATAACATACCACGAAGTCTAGAACCACGTCGAGAAGCAGCCTGTTGCCTACGTGCTGCTGCTGCTGTTGTGGATACACGTTGATGACTGTGCGATTTTCGTTTGTCATTTGATGATGATTTACAATTTGATGCAGTAGTATGTAATAAATTATTTAATACGGAATCAATATGTTCCTAGAGGAAAGAAAAAAAAAGATAAAGTTTAAAGCAAAAGTTGATCTTGTTCTAACTATAGCTTTCCTATAGACTCTATGCTCACCAATATCGCATTTATAGTTCTAGAAGTTCATCTGTAGGATAAATTAAATCCTACAGAGATAAAACATTGGCATATCCCCGACCCAGTATTAGCACGTTTTTAGACAAAATAATTCAAGATAAGAGGAAATCATTAGAGTAACACTATTCACATGCGTGATTAGAATGTCCATTATTCAATGACTCTGTGGTGGCCATATTGTATCACTAGCTTCGTGACGGTTGGTAACCAACGTGTTCTTAGGCTTCGCGTAATTAGCTCGCCCAGACAATCACTACTATGTAGTGCCTCCACATATATTCCAGTTCGCTTAAGTCTAATTTGGTTAAGCCCTTCCGATTAATTTGTTTAACCAAGTCATTTGTATTGTGAGCAACAATTTGTATGTACCATTCGTTCTTATTATTGTCTGGTTTGTATGAGCTCGCTCACATGACGTGTCCCACTTGTCATTTGACCTTGTCAACTGTGTGTAAATGCCTATTTCGCTTGTCACATGTTTGTCTTATATTTGTCTGACTATATATTCTTAGTCACGCTCTATCTCTTTGAGTGGGCTCATTAGCCTTTCTCCATATCGCTCCATACGATTTGCTTCCTTCGCCCATTGGTTCGCATTGTAATCCAAGGAGTTGGCTCAACAGCCTTCTCAAATTCACGTCGCTTCATTCGTTTAATTCACTGCTTCTCCGCTTCGCTTTGTGGTGTGTCCCCCAAATAAATGTATTCAACACTACGAGTTCGCCTTCTGATTTAAAAAAACCGTCAGACGCTATTTAGTAACGATTGTCTAGACGAGCTAATTACCGAGCTTAAGAACATGCAGTAAATTGACACATTACAACTAAACAGCATCTAACGATTTATAATAGAAAGTGAATTCAAAGTGTTGAATAATACATTTATTTTGGCATACCACAAAATGAATCAGCAGACTCTACAAGCGCCCAAAGATAAAATTGTCATGCAAGCGCCGAAAAGCAAGCAAGTAAGCGAAGCAGCGAATCGGCGAATAAAGTGAAGTGGAATGGAGAAGACTAGTGAGCCAACTCAATTAGATAAAGCATGACAAAGAATTTATAGTTAGACAAGAAGAATAAGACAAACATATAAAAAGTGAGATAGGCATGCATTCACATGAATGAAAGCGACAAATGATTGACAAGGTCAAAAGATAAGTGGGACAAGTCATGTGAGCTAGACATTGAATAACTCACTACAAATCAATATCTATCCCACGTTTAAAACAATAATTTGATGATAAGTTCTCAATGTTATCAAGCATAAACGTGGTGTACAACTGATCAATCCATAAGTCTTGATCAACATTGACAGAATTCAATCAACACTAAATGAATGGACAAATATTAGTAGCAAACATTTTAGTTGTAGAGATCAGTTCTGGGTCAGATAGAGATGGATAGGATAATAGAAGTTCCTAGCGAACAGATAGTATCAGTTTCTTTAAGATTGCTCAAATTACTTAACGATGCATAACACAAGTGAAACTCACAAAGTATGAGGTGAACAATTTGAGTCACTTACAAATGAACAGCGTCTTCTGAATAAGACATGATCGTATTCGATATCTGATATGACTTATATATCAGTTGAATAAAGTTTCAAATGCTCAACCACCGACTACTACTATGAAGAGCTGAGTCGTCGTCTGGTGTAGTAGTAGTAGTAGAAGTAGGCTCGGAAAAGCTAGCGCTGGCCAATCCAAAGCATAGCATCAGTTCATCAAGTCGGTAGTAGTAACTAAACCGAGCAACGTTAGTAAATAAAAAGTGACCTGGTTATGGCTCGCTAAATAAAGTTGCTACTTTCATTGCTATGCGGTTTGAACTGATAATTTTATCTCTGTGTTAATGTGGTATGATGACAAAAAATTCAGCTAGTATACCTACGTACTCAGTTCTATGTTGTAGCTGACTGAATAAATGCTCGTATACAATTTTGAACTGTGAATTGTGCACACAGACATAAGCATAACCGGTATCAATCAACAATCAACTCTCCACAATTCAATCATTTTTATTCGGAGAATTTAACAACCAAAACTATTCAACTCAGCTAAAAATCCATTTCTGCCTGATTATGGCTTATGCCTAGATGTTGTGGTCAAGCTTAGATATTATGATAACGTAACTAAGTTATATTGGATTTTACATTTGGGTCCTATTGATAAGAGGCATGCCAGTTGATGGTCAAACTAAGAGTACCAAATTTATGATCTGAAGGTGGTCACGCAGTTGATTGCGTTGGAGTTAGCGATTTATTTTTCTGAGAATCGGATTATTATATCCCTACATACAGTCTAATTTATTAGGTTTTTTCTTGGAGAGTTCCGAAACAACTCTTCGGAAGATCTCTAGAGGCATCGAAACGCCTGGAAGCATTCTATTCATCAAACAGCACTAAATAGGAACCTCATAAAACATTTGGAAAATGCAAAATTACGTACCACAAATCTGATTGGATATGTAGCCATACTGCTGCTCAATTTACTATGGTTCCTGTAATTTCCAGATGCTTTAGCATATATGTATTCCTATAAATAACCTTATAAATTAAAACTAGAGTCAAGTGTTGTTTTCTTAGGGTACTTTGCGTCTTTTCTCCGGTGTTCAAGTCGCTGTGCAGATTTAGTCTAGGGTTGTTAGAAGCAGCTACGGAATAAGATCATGTGTTCATTTATCAAAATTATCAGTTGTTATATTTCCAAATAATTATTGATGAATTGTTCGTCGATTGTTCCAGTTTCGTATGGCTGTCTTATTCAACTAACTGATACACAACAACCTATGAATTGTTTATTGGGGATGTTAGATCCCCAGAATTCGCTTCATAAATGTCTTATTTTCGATTTCACGTTTGCGAGCATGGGTCGATCAGTTGACCTTGAGATCACACATTTCCCACCAGGAAAATTCTTCGCTGTGATTGGCTGCTGTGTATTTTAGTGTGCTATTTTCGTAACTGTCCCAAAGACGTTTCTATGATGTATAAATAAACGAGAGTTGTGTGCTTGATTGTACTGTGTGATTGCTGGGTGTTTGTATTAGAATATACTTTCTACGCTTACAAAGCCTTTTGTCTTCCAGCTTGGGATTCAAGGTAGCCTATCTGGACGCTAGTGAACTCGTAATAGCTTTAAGCGTACCAAGTGACGAGCGTAACATTGTTGAGTTAAGTAGAAAATACAAGTAATCTACTTGTACACTTCTTCCCTTACTGATTGAACATTGCGTGTAAAAGGAGCAGCTGTTCAATCATTTTCCCCACAGAGCATCTTATCAGCCCGATAGAAAATAACACCAAACAATTAGTAATAAGCTCGTCAATGCAATGATAGCCTAATTACTTAAAGGTGCCCATTGAATACTAAAAAAAATACCTACTTTAAAAGCCGTTGCTGTTCTTTCAATACGAGCTTCTAAGTCAGGCGGCAAACAAATTTTCCATTGTACTAGTTCATTATTTGTTTTATGTTCATTGGTATTGCCAATTAAATGACAATTATTTTCAACTTGTAATATTAAATCATGTAGATTTTTAGCACAGAATTCCAAGGATTCATTGAATAAATTTGTTATTTCATTATCGATTGAAATGAGTTTCTATTTAAAACGAGCAAAAAAAATAGGAATTTTTTTTAAAAATACAGTTGAAGTTAGGATTCAATGATGTTGTAGATTGTTTAATTTCAATGAAATTAGGAATTATTCCATGAGATAAACAACTATGAGAGACTTGAAAGCATAGAATGATGCTTGTCTATGACATCATAGTCCCCTACTTGGTGAACAGGCTGACGAAATGCAGGAGTCTTTTGACCACACTAAGCAACAATGCAAGCATGTTCGGGATGCGATTCTGCCTCCCTCGAAATGTAAAATGTTGCTTCTAGATTGGGTTGCATTGGCACCTGAACTAGTGATAGGGAGTGAAGTAGTCAAGCGTGTTGATTGCTTCACTTATCTGAGGAGTCTTATCAGTGCTGATAGCCTGGTAACTGATGAAATCTCAGCTCGGATACAGAAGGCTCAATTGGCTTTTGCCAACCTGCGTCACTTACGGCGTAGACGAGATATCCACTCGCTAACCAAAGGACGGGTTTATTGCGCAGCAGTTCGCTCCGTTCTCCTATACGGATGCGAAACATGGCCGTTAAGAGTAGAAGATGTTCGTAGGTTACTAGTATTCGATTATAGAAGTTTAAGAAGTATTGCTCGTATATCGTGAGACAACCGAGTAAGCAATTCTGTCGTTAGGAAACGGGTGCTAGGTAAGAATGGCAGATCAATAGATGAAGTAATGAAACTTCATCAGTTGAGTTGGATGGGACATGTGCTACGTATGCCTAACCACCGACGGCCTCGATGAGCTTTGTTTCGTAGTGTAGGAATAGGTTGGAAGAAAGTTAGGGACGGCCAAACCAAAACATGTCAGAAATCCATGAAGTCATTGATGAGTGGACTTAGCCATGTCGGTAATTGTCGAATACCTGGTTGGGGTCCGCGAGATGATAATAATCGATGGTTACAGACCCTGAATGAAATGTCTGAATACCGTTTGCAATGGCGCCGGTGCATTTATTCTTTGTGTTCTCTCAAATCCTTATCTTCTGGATTCTTCAACCCCTCTAGTTTTGAGTTTCTAGACTTTTCTCATTGAATCATACTTCTGAAATAATATCTTCTAACTCTAACCTCTCCGATTACTTCTAATACCTTTACTACCTCTTATACTATTGGATTTGAATTGACAATTATACCTCTGTCCTGATGTGGTATGACGTGAACTGATGTACTTACGTACGAAGTTCCACGTTGCATCTGACTGACTGACTGAGAATGCTTGTCTCAATATAGTATGGGACTGCTGATTAGTGATAGTGCGCATCAAGGACGCCTCCACATGCGAGCGTTTAACATCTAGTAGATCATATTGAGTCAGCATTCAATTGTGTTTAATATCTAACTTTAATCAATTTATAAGACTGCTCAAACTCATTTATTGTCTTCACAGTCGTCACGCATAACTTTTCATGAAACCTCAAAGGATTCCGTCAATGGTGAGCACATATGACAATCCAGAGGTGACTTGTTCGCATCCGAGATCGAACATCCTGGGTTCGATTTCCGCCCAAGGATCAGCGCTCGTTGAGACGGTCGTCGGTTGTTAGACATACATAACACGTGTCTCAACCAGCTCAACTTATCAAGGTTCAATAATTCATCTATTGATTTACCATCCTAACCCCCCATAGAGCATTTGCTTAACTCGGTTGTCCCAAGATATTCATTCATTGGTATCTTATTTCTGTGTTTTTTTCCACTCTTCATATTACAATTTTAGTCGTTTAGAATGAAAAAAAATTAGCAACAATAACAACAACAAGAACAACTAACCAACTCTTTTTTGTCAACTGGAAGACTGATATCACTTAGTGCAGTTGTTGATGTATCTAAACGATTCATCGACAGTGTTGTTGCTGTTGTTGTTGTTGTTAGACCCCATTCATCCATAATTTCTAATTCAGTCATATCAATTTCACTATTCGATGTATTCATCATTTGTAATGCATCGGGAAATGTTGTTGCTGCTGTTGTTGTCACCTCCATAAAACGTACTAAATCTTCATTGGGATTACTATTATTACTATTATTATGATTGTTAGTAGTAGTTTTATCTGTTTCAGTGATTAATTCCAATTTTTCACGAATATCAACAATTTCTTCTTTTTCATCAAGACAATCATTATCAGTTAAATGATGACGATAATGATGATCTTCGTCTTCACTGTCCGACAGTACTTCACCTTCAGAACAACTTGTATTATCCGATGGTGTACAATAATGATCATGATGATGATGATGATGATGTAAACGAAGTGAACGACGATTTGTACGTTTTCGTGTAAATCCATTATTTCTACTACTACTCTTAATCTTAATCTTACTACTCTTACTACTACTCACACTACTACTACTACTACCACTGTTACTACTACTATGATTAGCATTACTACTATTACTACCACTACTACTAGTACTACTCACTTTACTGTTAGAATGCGATGATTTTATTGATTTACTGAAATGTTCTATAGATTTAATGTATTGATTTTCATGATTATTATCAGTGATTTGATTGTCTCCTTCTTCTCTTCCTCTTCTTATTTCTTCATTGTGTTCATTAGTTCTAGTCAGCTGAGATTCTGATTCAATTGAAATGTTATTATTATGATTATTATTGAATTGAACTTCAACATTGGCTTCTCTGTATAAGAAATGATGTAAGGATAAAAAAAAGTCAACAGCAACAGTGTATACATGTTTATATATATATGAAGTAAATCTGTGACTAACTGCCGGTCCAGTCCCAAACCCGGATAAAGAAGGAGGGGTTGGCGCTCCCATCCCAACTAAAAACTAACTTGCCAAAGAAAAAAACGCTAACCAGAACAAATAATTCAAACCATTTTCATTCTGCCCTGAGAGTTGGAAGAAGAATTATGATGACGTCGCGTGATGAATGCCGAATTCCCTCGGAAGTCACGAGGTTGATGCCCCCTTCTGACAACCAGAGCAACTATTCTTTTAAGTACATGGAACGTTCATACATTGTGGGAGGAGACTGGAAGACTATTTCAAGTTGAGGCAGAAATGAAAAAATACAACCTCGAGGTGCTCAGCATCAGTGAAACGCATTGGACACAGGACAACTGAGACTAGCTTCAGGGGAACTGCTGTTATACTCTGGTCATAAAGAGGAAAATGCTTTACATACACAAGGAGTTGCACTGATGCTGTACAAACATGCACAAAAGACAGTTCTACTGTATGCAGCGGAAACTTGGAGAACTACCAAAGCCATCATCCAGAAGATACAAGTGTTTATTAACAGTTGTCTATGCAAAATAATTCGGATTTGTTGGCCAGACACCATCAGCAACAACGAACTGTGGGAGAGAACAAGTCAGATTCCAGTGGAGGAGGAAATCAGGAAGAAGCGGTGGAAGTGGATAGGACCCACATTACTAAAAGTACCTAACTGTGTCACAAGACAAGCCCTAACTTGGAACCCTCAGGGCGAAAGGAAAAGAGGAAGACCAAGGAACAAATTACACTGAGAAATAGGGAAAGATATGGCAGGAATGAACAAACATTGGACAAAATTGTAAAGGGAAGCCCAGGATAGAGTTGGTTGGAGAAAACTAGTGGGCCGCCTATGCTCCATTGAGGGTAACAGGCGAAAGTAAGTAACAGCCGAAAGCATGGATTCACTGAATCATTGCTCAAAAACGCATATCCGATCAAAAGTTCTACGTCCGATTCTCATTCGAGGGAATGTGGATGCGCACTGCTACTGATGAGTTCCATATACGGCTGAAACAGTCACCCAGTGCTTTCCAGTTTCCATCGATCAGAGTTCATGATTCCACTTAAACTTAACAATGGAGACAGTTGTATACTCTCAATATGATAGAAAATGACAAAACAACTTACATTGGTTTCTCATCAATTACATTATTCATAGTAGGTTGAATTAATTCTATTTTTTCTTTTAAATTCGATAATTTAACAGATTTCAATGTAGATTGTCTGAGACTGTTGTTGGTGGATTGTTGTTCTGTTGTGTGTTCTTTTGAACGATTCGATGTAGATTGCTGTTGTTTATGTTTATTCCAATTGAAATGATCATATCGATCAAGTGAAGCTTGAATGATAGCAGGATTTAAGTGGACTGTTAACCTGTATTTAAATGAAATGAAATGAACTGTTAACTTAGTTAGTTATAGATAGAATGATATAATTTGTACAAACGTCATTTCGCTGGAAGAAAGTTAGGGGCGGCAAAACCAAAACATGGCAGAAATCCATGAAGTCATTGACAAGTGGACTGACCCATGTCGGTAATTGTCGACTACCTGGTTGGGGTCCGCGAGATGATAATAATCGATGGTTAGAGACTTTGAATGACATGGCTCAAAATCGTCTGCAATGGCGCCGGTGCATTCATTCTTTGTGTTCTCTCAAATCCTAATCTTCTGAGTTCTTCAACACCTCTAGTTTTTACTTTCTAAACTTATCTCATTGAATCATACTTCTTGAACAATATCTTCTAATACTAACCTCTCCGATTACTTCTAATTCCCTCACTACCTCTACTACTATTGGATTTGAATTGACAATTACTTCTCTGTGCTGATGTGTGGTATGGCAACATGAACTGATGTACTTACGTACGAAGTTCTACGCTGCATCTGACTGACTGACTGAATGTCATTTCCCTAACACAACAATTGGAAATCTGGAAGCTTTTGATAGGGGTTTTATTCTTGGATAGAATAGGTCAAAATGTGAACAAGGTGTGATCTGAACTACTGTTAGAATTGAGAGGCTAGATATCGTTTTACGGTTAGTTACAACGTGGAAGGATAATTCAGATTGAGAGACTTTAGAAGGATGTTAGGTGAGTAATGCTAGTGACAACTTTGGAGCAATTTATTGATTAGGACTAGTCACGTACAGTCATTTTTACGGATAGCTTACGATCAGTTAACTTCTTAGTCAACTGCTGGCGGCACCAGAATTCATGGGTTAAAAAATGAAGTGCATCATTTTTTTCAAGTGGCTTCTGGCTTTCACTGTGAGAAAGCACCATTAGTTAAGGTATTGGTTATTTAAGAGAGACATTATGCTACCACCTCACCCTTGTATACACAGCACAACAACTTCATCCTCACACTATGCGTTTGCAGACTATATTTTTTAAGATCTTTAATCAACTCTACCTTTGCATGATTGGAACTAAAAGAGCGAGTGCTCTGACCAATGAAGCCTGAATCATAATGATGAGTAAGACATGCCACATGGCAATAACAGCTACAGTTATGTAATATTTGACTCTACTATAGGAATTCTTGTTCTTTTTATTTGCCACCAGTTGCTAAATGAATGGTATTTAACACAAACCTTGGTTCGTTAAGAACTAATTGGACTTATTCCGTCTGAAGTGTTTCTGTGATTACTAGCAGTCGCAGACCCGGATAAAGCAGGAGGGTTGATCATGGGGTTGGTGATCCCAACCTAAAAGGAACTAACTCGCTAAAAAGCGCTTACCAGGTAAAAATAATTCAAACCATTTCAACTCTCCACTGGGAGTTAGAAGGTCTTCGTTTAGAAGAGTTATGACGTCTCATGATAAAGGCCGAGTTTGCTCGGGAACCACGAGGCCCGATGCTCTTTCTCACAACCAGAACAACCATTATTTTAGGCAGATGGAATGCTCATACAATGTGGGAGACCAAAAGAGTCATTCAAGTTGTTTCAGAAATGAAAATATACAACATGGAGGTGCTTGGAATCAGTGAAATACATTGGACGCAAAGTGGACAACTAAGACTAGTCTTAGTTGCTGTTATAATCCGGTCATAAAGAAGAAAATGCCTCACACACACACACAAGGAGTCGCACTGATGCTGCCCAATGAAGCACAAAATGGACTTGTAAAACGAGAATTTCATGGACCCACGATTATCAAACAATCCCTCAAAACAAAGAAAGATGGGATCACAATGAATATCATTCAGTGATATGCCCCCACTGAGCGGGTAGAGCACTATGAAGAACTTTTGAATCGAAGCATCAACCAAGGACCTCCTAATCAATGCTGATCCACTAACACTTGATGAGATCAGCAAGGCTATCAGACAAATCAAGAGCAGCAAAGTAGCGGGACCAGATAACATTCCATCAGGGGCAATGAAAGATGTACCAGTAAGTGCAGAGATACTCTACATTCTCTTCAACAAGACTTGGGATGAAGAACAGGTAGCAAAAGACAAGAAAGAAGGACACCTTATCAATATGACAAAGAAAGGCAATCTCAACAAGTGTGAGAACTATAGAGGCATCACTCTTCTCTCAATACCCGATAAAGTCTTCAATAGGGTGTTGTTAAACAGAATGAAGGACTTCGTAAACGCCAAACTTCGAGATCAACAGGCGGGATTTCGTAAGGACCGATCGTGTACCGACCGAATTGTAACATCACGGATCATTGTGAAACAAACAACTGAATGTAACTCACCATTCTACATCAACTTCAGGGACTACAAGAAATCATTTTATATTGTAGACAGGACAACACTACGGAGACTTCTTCGACACTACAGTGTGTCTGAGAAGATATTCAACAGCATGCGGAATTCACTCGATGGATTAAACTGCAAAATTGTGTATACACAACAACTCAAAAACTCGTTCAAAGACTGGTCTCAAGCAACGTTGCTTACTCTAAGTTTCTTGTGATGATCAATTGGATTATGAATACTGTAACATCTGGGGGAGGAGCACGGAATGCAGTGAACTGGACTGTAGTGCAGCTGGACGATCTACAATTCGCAGATGATCTGGCTTTTCTATCCCACAAAGAACAACAAACGCAGCATATCAGCAGCCTCTGCAGCAGTAGGTGTCAACATACACAATTGAAAAAGCAACATCCTTCAATGCAACACAACATCAATCAGCCAAATCACATTTGATATAGAAGCTTTGGAGGATGTGGAAACCTTTACATAACTGGGGAGCATTACTGACGAACACGGTGAATCTGAGGCAGAGGTGAAGGGGCAGAATTATTCTGAGTATTCAGTGGACAGCCCTGGTGTCCGTCAGGGCTGTCCACTCTCTTCATTCTTGTTTAACTTTGTCGTAGACATCCTCCTAGAGTTAATATTAAGCTCCTCAGATTTTTCAGGGGTTGACCTTCTACCAGGAAAGTCGCTTACTGATCTAGAATATGCCGATGACATAGTTCTATTCGGTGAAGACGCTGACAAAATGCAGAGTTTTCTGACTACCATAAGCAACAATGCAAGCATGTTCGGGATGCGGTTCTCACCCTGAAAATGCAAAATGTTGCTTCAAGACTGGGTTTCGTCGGCACCTGAACTAGTGATAGGGAGTGAAGTAGTCGAGCGAGTCGATCGCTTCACTTATCTGGGGAGTCTCATCAGCGTTGATAGCCTGGTGACTGACGAAATCTCAGCGCGGACACAGAAAGCCCGATTGGCTTTTGACAACCTGCGTCACTTATGGTGTAGGCGTGATATCCGTTCGCTAACCAAAGGACGGGTGTACTGCGCAGCAGTTCGCTCCGTTCTCCTATATGGCTGTGAAACATCGCCAGTGAGAGTAGATGTTCGTAGGTTACTAGTATTCGATCATAGATGTCTTAGAAGCATTGCGCGTGTATCGTGGGACAACCGAGTAAGCAATGCTGTCGTTAGGAAACGAGTACTAGGTAAGGATGGCAGATCAATAGATGAAGTATTGAAACTTCATCAGTTGAAGTGGTTGGGACGTGTTACGTATGGCTAACCATCGACTGCCTCGACGAGCTATGTTTTGTGGTGCAGGAGTAGGTTGGAAGAAACCTAGGGGTGGCCAGACCAAAACATGGCAGAAATCCATGAAGTCACTGACTAGTGGACTGAGTTATGTTGGTAGATGTAGACTACCTGGTTGGGGTCCGCGAGACGAAAGTCACCAATGGTTAGCGACCTTGAACGACATGGCTCAAAATCGTTTGCAATGGCGCAAGTGCATCCACTCTTTGAGCTCTCTCTAATCCTAATATTTTTGATCCGTCAGCACCTCTACCTTTGTCTTTCTAACCTTATTTCACCTAATTATACTTCTTGAATAATATCTTCAAACCCTAGTCTTCTTTATTAACATTAATACCTCTTCTATCTTTATCACTATGAGATTTGATTTGACATTTGCGTCTTTGTGCTAATGTGGTATGGCAACATGAACTTATGTACATACGTACGTAGTTTTACGTTGCAACTGACTGATGCTGAGTATTGGAGACACACATGGGCAGATGAAGAGGAATTAGATAGAACTGGAGAAAAAGGACCCGAAAAAGAGTAGGTTTTAGAATATTGGTCGGCAGCCTATGCTCCACTGGGTGGTAACAGAAGTAATTAAGTAAGTAAGTAGGTAAGAACCATGTTTCCTAAGTCACAAGTTGACAAAAGCTAAATACTGAAAAATAAACAAAACCATATAAACGATGCATAAAAGTCTAATTATGTACAACTTACTTCTCTCCAGTCAAGTCATTATCATCAGAACTAGATTCAAATTTATCGAATGGATCATAATTTCCATTCATAGGATCATCATCATCAATATCACCATCCCGATTAATGAATGAATTATTCTGTTTAAATTCATATGTATTACCTTCTTCATTAATGTCTTCGTAATGAGAATAAAAACCTTGCAAAGCTAACATAACTTGTGTACGTAAATTTTCTCGACATTTTGCAGCATCATCAGCATGTTTTATGATTGAAATACCTTTAAATTTATTGTAAAAAGAGAAACGACATATGGAAAATACAAACTATGAAATAGGTTATAAAACTAAAAAAATTGTAATGTCAGTTGAATTACACCATATCAGACGTGTGCATAAATGGTGGGCAACCACCTTCGGTATAATGCAAAACTTCTAAATAGAGAATACACCCATCAAAACAAGATTTGTATCACAGGTCATGTGAATCTATGAGTATAGGTACAGGACATTTTGTGTCAGTTACGCACCTCTTTAGAACCATACCACTAGAGGTGAAAGTTGGTGGATTGAAGTGGGGTGTTTGGTTTTTTCAGGGACAATGTTTTTAACCTCTCTTTTTGTTTATATGAATGAAGCATCGTTGGAGATGTAGGTTATTGCTAAGAAGCCTATTAAAGTTCACATACTCTAGGGCAATGTCGATAATCATGCACTGTTTCATTTGAAGTTTACTATATCTAGACTAATCGCTCTACGACAAGCTTACGTCAGAAGGTAAAAACCTAAAGACGTAGGTATTCCAGGCAATATCAGTCAGATGCAACGTAGAAATTTGTACATAAGTACATCAGTTCATGTTGCCATACCACATCAGCACAGAGATACAATGGTCAATTCAAATCCAATAGTAAAAGAGGTAGTAAAGGTATTAGAAGTAATCGGAGAGGTTAGGATTAGAAGATATTATTCAAGAAATATGATTCAATGAGAAAAGTTTAGAAAGTCAAAACTAGAGGGGTTGAAGAATCCAGAAGATTAGGATTTGAGAGAACACACAGAATGAATGCACCGGCGCCGTTGCAAACGGTTTTCAGACATGTCATTCAGGGTATTTAACCATCGACTATTATCATCTCGCGGACCCCAACTAGGTAGTCGACGACTACCGACATGGCTAAGTCCACTTGTCAATGACTTCATGGATTTCTGCCATGTTTTGGTTTGGCCGCACTTAGCTTTCGCCCAACCTACTCCTACACTACAAAACAAAGCTCTTCTAGGCAGTCGGTGGTTAGGCATACGCAGCACATGTCCCAACCACTTCCAGGCAATATGGTTCGAATAGGTTGTCACACTAAACAAGTCTAAGGTCATCTACACGTTACTGGTCAATGTTAGAACATCAGAGATGAACAGAATCGAACAATGAGATTAACTGGGAGGGAAAAAAAACCACCAACGAGTTTCTCGAAATTTTTTTTTCAGAACATACCTGGAATTAGATGTGAAATTGGAAGAAGAAGATCTGTGATTTGATCGGCCAACTTTTCAAATACAACAGCAAGTTTCGATTGAATTATAGGTTTTTCAGATGCAACAAACGTAGTGTCTGTAAAGTGTAGATTAATTATTTGAAAAAAAATGCAGTATTTAGTAACAAAACAAGTGAAATAAACTCGAGTTCTGTCTGTGTGTGCCTGAAAATTTTTATACGAGACGTTAACATATGGGTTTACAGAAGCTCCTCTGAGCTATATCTGATAACACATTAAGCTACTGAATCTCACTATCATAGGAAACTACAAACTAGGGACTTGTGAAGAAACCAAGAGATGACAATCCTGTACAGTTTTTTTCCATGCTATATCACCATGTCACCTGTTTGCATTTTCCAACCAGTTCCAACGTTGGCAAATGGTATACAATGTGGAATTTGCTAGGACAACAAGATAGTGAAATCAATTAAATTATTGATACTGTATAGGAACATAAGTTGCCCAAAACTCTGGATTACTAACACGATGTTGTCGCTGAATGTTGGCAATCGTTCGGAGACAAAAGTTGATCGAACATCTTTAACTTAGAGTGACCAGATTCCACAAGCATATGGTAAAACCGCTCTCACCGATTCACTGTAGACCCAACCTTTAATAGCCAGACTAACATTCGATAAGCACCTAAGATGGCTTAGATTAGCATAACCTCCTTCGGTTTCCATCAATGCAATCACTTAGGTCACCATTAGAACGTACATAACCATAAAAACTGTTCGACTTCCTCTACTCGACCACTTACCAAGAGTGGGTGCGGCTTTAAGGTTATGCCAGTCTTGTAAACATACGTAGCACTTAAAAGGTACAAAGCATCTACCATACCTATGGACACTGAATAAACATATTGCTTCAATTACGCCGAACTTTTTGCTGCCAATGGCTTGGATGATTTGAATGGGCCTCCAGCAGTAGTGAGAGATTTAGAGAATTAGAATTTGAGAGAAGACAAAGAATTCATGCTCCTACGCCACTGTCGACGACAAAGTTAAGTAAACATGGAGAAAGTGGACAGTGAAATCCACCATCTCAGAGAAATCCAAAGATAAATCAATGTGTACGGAGTGAAGACAAATGATAAATGCTACTCATTAAAATCGTAACAAATACAACATTGCAACTAACCATGATAACCATACAACAGATCGCAGTATGTATTAATTGCTGAGAAGCTATTTGAAAGGAATTCTAAGGAAAGAAACACCTACTTTTATTATTTTCTACAACACGATTCATCTGGATAAAACAGATAGGTAGTTAGAATCTATTTGGCAATGTGAAACTTAGAAGTAAAGATTGGTTTAGAGTCTCAAGCTTGAGTGTTTGAAGAAACATCTACAAAAAACGATCACGGAAAACAGTTCATAAGACATGCTTAAATGAAGAATCTTGTCTAAATAAATTATTTAGACTACGCATTTCATAAGTGATAAAGGCATATAGATAAAATTTGTAAAGCATACCTGAAGGAAGCGTCATAATCACAGGTTTGTCTATAAATACTTTCCCTGTAGCACGTGATCGTATTTTCATTAAGTCATGTCGTAAACTGACAAGCAAAGGATGAGATTGACCCCGTTGTTTGGATGACTTAGATAAACGTACTAAACGAGACAACTTTCGACATAAACGTAAACGGGTTTTTCGCAGCTCTGGACACATCTGTAGATCATTAAATTTTGCTACTGACTGTTCTCGTGCCCAAGCATAAACACTACCTAGAATGAAGTCAATAAATGAAAATATACGGTAGAAAAATATGAGAGAGGTATTTTAAAACAAAATAAACAATGATCTTAAATAGAAGTGGCCAACTGAGAAGTATCAGACGTGTCATAGATGAGTATCCTTATTCAGGGAAGGAACGTATATACATAGGTATATATATATTTATATGAATGAGTACTTATATATACGATTTAGTAGCCAAACAGAACAGTAGAAATCGGATTGAACTGGAAAGGAAAGCCTAGGCTAGAGTAGGTTGGAGAATGCTGGTCAGCTACCAATGCTCCACAGGAGGTAAGTAAGAAAAAGAAGATCAGTTAGGAAGAACTAGTCGACCGAAAATTCGTTTTTTTGAAAACTAGAACTGAAGTTGGAGACGTGAAATGAGGACATAGAGAGAACAGGAACTAAGTGCCGTAATAAATGAATCTCTGAGCAAGTAAATTGAGACTTCGAAATTCGCCTTACCTCGTTTAGTACAAGTTACTAAAACATACTAAGCATAGAGCGGCTAAAATTAATGTTTCGAGTATTCAAAGAATAAGTTACATCTATAAAATTGGCTTTGAATACTTTAAAAACTTGCTAATCTGTTATTATCAACTCACCCAACTTAATTGATGAGAGAGACGGGAAATTTTTCGCCATTGTAGCTTGTTTAGAATACTGGTTGCATAAATCTGCAACCGTGTTCTCAAAATCTCGCATAATGGATTTTATTCTGGTTTTGGCATAATCAGGATGATTAAAAGTTTGCGAAACAACTAGAAAGATTATGTAACACAAATAAATTTTACCTTGATCAAGTTCATGAGATAGGTTTTTAACAGCTCTAGAAACTATGTTGGCCGAATGACGGTCCACTGGATAATATTCAGCTAACAATGAAAACAAAAGTGTGGTGAAGACATACATGTTAATTTGACCCTCATTTTACCGACACCAATATCAGGTGTGCTACTAAAACTTTTCCGTGATACAATACCGCGCATCTGACGTTCGATGTAAGACTGAAGTTCGTCGACAACATCCACACCCAAAAACTCATTACAAACCATGATATCACCAAAGTCAACACAATTAGACGTTGGCCCCTTAAGATCCACACTGATCGAAATAGTACAATTTCAATATCCAATATCCAATATCTTTGTCACGAGCTAGTGTAAACCAATTTGATTTCTTCGGGCTCGATTCTTGTTCTGTCGGTACCGTTCCAGGTGTTCGGTAATGTCAAATGGATGGAGGTCTAGCCACTCGACTGTATAATTCTAGTCAGTTGGCAGTTGGTTGTGAGTTTGTATGTCTCGGGATTTGAATGAAACGTAGGGTTTCTGGATACTAGCAGTCGTCACATTACCATACCGGAGATCAGTTAGTTGAAATGGGGAGAGTAATAAGGGTAATAAGGATAAATTAAAATGATAACATGAATAAAATTTCAGAACTGAATAACATATAGGTGAATTTAGTTTGTTAATTGGTAGTGAAGATTGTGAGAGAGGACCGAAGTGTAAGCAAGGGAGAGGAATAGGCGAGATAGATTAAGTAAGTGATCTGAGGAGATGGCAATGGTAACAACTAGCAGGTCTCAAGATATGCATCAGGCACAGCTTGTCCCAGAGGGAGATGATAGTCCGCATGTGAGTACGTGATTATCAAGTCTCTCCTTAGAGCAGTCCACTGAGGGGGCTGAAACTACCTCGGCTGGGAGAGCGTTCCAGGTTGCGACGACTCGCAATGAGAAAAAGTGTGCACGAATCTGAGTATTTGCTCTTTGATGTGCAACCTTTGAAGGATTGCCTCGAGAGGAGTGGTGGTGATGCATCGGTAGGATGCTCACATTGGGATGGTTTGGTGTGTTTAGTATGGTGTATGCCATAATCAGGTCACCTCTGATTCTCCTGTAGCTCAGTGGGAATAATCCCAAGAGCTGGAGTCTATCGTCGTAGGGTTTATTTTTCAACCCTATCACCCATTTGGTTGCTCGTCTCTGCACTCGATCCAGGAGATTTATGTCTCTTTTAAGCAGAGGGGGTGCGATGACGTTGTCAACCTCCAATTGTGGGCGAGCGTACGTCTTACACAGGGTTAAAAATATTTGCTGGGTGATAGCACAAAGCTGTCTTCACATAAAGTGAAGAGTCGCATTTGCTTTGACTGCATCCCCTACATAGTTCGAACTGGTGTTGAGGCTTTCTGTGGTTATTAAACCAAGATCGCGCTCTGAGGAGACATTAGGAAGCGGACTCCATTGAGAGTGTAGGTCGTTTGCATCATATGAGGCAGGAAATGCATGACGTGGCACTTCGGTTGGTTGAGTGTTAAACCGTTTTCCACTGCCCATTTCTCAATAGATGTAAGGTCCTTTTGAAGCTCAGTCGAGTCCTCTTCGCATCTAATGGACCTCCAGATCTTCGCATCGTCTGCGTAGATCAATGCCGATGATCTAAGTGAGCCTAGCAGGTCGTTAATAAATATCAGGAATAGGAGTGGGCCTAGGATGGTCCTCTGTGAGTCTCCTGAAGTGGATACTCACCAACTCGCGTGCGCTCTGTTTACATTGGTGCGAAACTTTCTATTCTCAAGGTAGTTTCTGAGCCAAGATACGAGTGGTTCAATGTAGCCCATTTCCACAACCTTTTCGATTAGGCGTGCGTGGGGCACTGTCTCAAAGGCTTTTGCGAAGTCGAGAAATACTACGTGCACTGGTATTTTACGGTCCAAGCAGGATGTCCAACTGTCCCATACGATGAGAAGATTAGATGCACACGACCTGCCTTTCCGGAACCCGTGTTGAGCTTCATGGAGTATTTTATTCTTATTCATGTACTCCCTCTTATGTTCGTCCACTAGTCCTTCCATAACCTTTGATAATATAGGTAGTAGTGCGACAGGTCTGTAACAGGCTGGGTCCCTTCTATCTCCTCCTTTGAAGATTGGATAGAGAGTAGCTTGTTTCCATTCCGCTGGGAATTGCTGTGGCTCCAGTGAATGCCTGAACAGGTTGCATAACGGTGAACATAGGGCTTCAGCGCACTGCTGCAAGACTATAGGGCGGATTTTGTCACAACCTGGTGACTTACCTGGGAGTAAGTATTTTAGTTTCCTTAATACTAGGTCAGGAGTGATACGGATGTTCTGTAAGCCGTCAGCTGGCATTGGGTTGGCGTAATACTCTGAACATGTAGGCGCCTGGTTTAATTGATCAGAAAAATGGGTGTTGAAGATCTCGGCCATCTCTTGGTTGGTGAAGTCCTCCCCGTTTGGCGCTTTCAGGGAACCCAACCCTTGATTAGTAGGTTTCCTCTTGGACATGAACCTAAACAGATGTTTCGGGTTTGCCTCTATTCTGGTGGCTAGCTTCGTCTGGAATTGTATCCTGTCGCTTCGAACTTTGGTATTGCATCTGTTTCTCAACGCCAAGTAATAATAATAATAATAATAATAATTTATTCTCAAATAACAAACATGTTAGAAGAAACATGCCAATTTACAGGCAAGATCAAAATGTTAAGATTAGCAACATATTTCTTTTAAAACGGTGTACAGTTACTGAAACATTTCACATGATTCATTGTTTTCCTAAAGATGGAATGTACAATGCGAATAATTGGCGCAAGTTACGAAGGTTGCGTTACGACAATCATCTTATGGACTGAGAAACGATTCATGGTAGAGATAGGTTTTCATATAACAAGAGTTGATGCGGTAAATGTACAAAGGTCTGGTTGATATTAGTCAGCTAATGATTTCACTTGTTCTTGGGTAGTATAACCAAGTCTACTGCAAATATCCAGACTAATATATGAGGATTGGAATAAGGTTCTGAAAAAAGAGGAATAAAGAGAACGGGACGAGGAGCGGAACAGAAAATATTCATGTTCAAAGCCGCACAACGGCTTTGCACATACGTCTTCAGCGAGTGGTGCTGAGTCAAGAGTTACCCTCATTCGAGGGGGTTTCCCTTTCGAGACATTATGGACTTTGAAAAGGCGGCATATTTTGGCTGGGACCTCGCACATTCCGAGGGTTGAGCAGAGTTTATCCCATTGCTCTTTGTCGAAGGAAGCTCTACCTTCCAGCAAGCTTCCTTCTGACACTTGGACATTAAATAAGATAAGTGAGTTGGATCTGTCGTCCCTGGTCTTGGGTGGAGGCTGCTTGTGAGTTTGGGTGTTGCTCTTTCCCTTCTCCACGTTTACTCATTGTTTTGTGTTGCTGGCAGTTCATTTCAGTGTCCAATTAACGAAACAACTATCTTGTACAGAATAACTACAGAACCACTTATTACGTAGCTAGCATAATTTAAAGACGTAGTCTGAGTCAGGGTATTATTCAACTATTTAGTTTCATCCTGGATAAAACAGAAGGCCTGGTTTTAGTGGTTTCTCATTTGATCCTAGTTTCTTTTGAATATGTCAGTTGATGGAGTTCCAGTAATGTGTTCAGGGTTCGATTTCCATGTGCTGAATATGTGACTAGAAGGTCATTAGGTAGCTAAAATGTTATTTTGTTCGGCGTTTGTAAACATATTGGACTGCCTTAGACAATTCTATTTTCTGAATGTTAGAAAGAATGAGAGAAACATCAGATAAAAAATTAATACTAGGTAGTGTAAAACTGTGATAAGGTTGGTGTGAAAACCTAAGTATACATCTAAATTGGGAGATTTTCGGACATTCAGTAGCCATCGGTTTTCAAGTTTTAACTGACAACGGCTTTGATGCCAACATGAGTGTGATCAACAAGTAGTGCAATGTTATTAATCATGTATGTATTCATCCCACATTGAACAATATGTGTCATTATACTGTGGAGGATCGATCGCCTACAGCCAAATTCCAGACCATTGGGCTTGAATCCTCATGTTCCCTGGAAATTAGCAACTATCTTTCCAATAAAGATCGTCCTCCATCTCTCGATGTAGTCAGCGTATTACAAAGCCAATGATAAAGGGATACTAGGTGGGCCATTTTTAAACAAGAGTAAAAATGTCAACCTCGAAACTTCATCCTGAGTAACAGCACCAAACACAGGTTTCCTGCTAAACAACTACAGTTAATCCGCAGTATACATTGGCTCCCGACTAGGAAACCGTGAAAATATAAGGTTGATGCACCTTCGAAAATGGATTTACTAACATACAAAGCGACGTTTCTAAAACAGTTAATCTCGACAACCTACTTATACTTCACCAATTCAAAGTACCTCGGAAAGTCACTCAGTAGTACGTCTACACGTAAAGTTGATTTTTTAGGGTGTTTTGATGATTGTTACATAACGGCGGGTAGGATTTCATTTCACCCCAATATGTAAACATAACTCGTATGGAAGCTTATAGTTCGGTAAAGAGCCCTTCATATCCTAGTACATCTCTTCTACTGCCTTTTACCAAAATCAAGAGATTTCTTACCTGTAATTTTAGGCCAATAACATTCATGAAACAGCAAAGTTGAACAAATGACTTAGTGCTGTAACCCAGAGAATTCGACCACTGTCAGAAACCTGGTGGCAATCTCATCCTAGCTTGGAGCTCATCGGCAGTGCACATCCGCGATCCTCTCCTACGGGGATCAAACACACACTAGTAAAGTTTGTTCAGTTATCGATAACAATTCTTTCATAGAAAATGTTGAAAACGTACTCACTTGTGGCTAGTTTCGTCGGGGAACTGTAGGGGTTCTAGTGAGAAATTTGGCTAGTGGAATTCAACTCTGTTTGGCGTGAGGCAATGCCTGCCGAAGATAAGCGATGCGGTTGTGGAATACTTTACATTGTTCAAAGTAGGACCTTGCCACCATTAGATGCGAGCTCAGCGGTCTAGAATTTAGGCATTCGCGTTAGACTGGAGCTTCTGAGTTTGATTCTCGTAACCGGGCGTCGTGGGTGTTCTCTGATGATGAGTTCCGTGCTAGAACGAAATGGACGTTCAGTGGTTCCAACCATTATCAACTCAAGACTTGGCTGAAAAATAATCATAAATCTATGATGAAAAAGTAGAGATTAGAACTTCCGACACAAGCAATAAAGTGCGGTTTGAGAGAATAGATACGTATCCATATGACTGCCTGATTGTTGGAATTAATAGTACCAATAAAATGGAGCTGCTAATTTCT